ATTGCAACAAAAAAATAGCCAGGCATTGTGATGGGCACCTGTAGTCCCAGCTACTCAGGAGGCTGAGGCAAGAGAATCACTTAAGCCCAAGAGCTTGAGGTTTCTGTGAGCTGTGTCATCATGGCACTCTACCAAGGGTGACATAGTGAGACTCTGTCTTGGAAAAAAAAAAAGAGAGAGCAAGCAGAAGAGAAGGCACAGAGACACACAGAGAGAAAGGCCATCGTGTGTGGCAGTTTCGGTAGCTCACAACTGTAATCTCAGCATTCTGGGAGGCTGAGGCAGGTAGGTGGATCCCCTAAACTTTTTTTTTTTTTTGGCTGGGACTGGGTTTGAACCTACCACCTCCAGCATATGGGGCCGCTGCCCTACTCCTTTGAGCCACAGGCACTGCCCGTGATTCTTGAATAATTCTAGTAATTAGTGATTTTACTTAGGCAGATGTCACTTTTTTATTTTATTTTTTATTTTTTTTTCATCTTTTTTTTTTTTTTTGGCTGGGACTGGGTTTGAACCTACCACCTCCAGCATATGGGGCCAGCACCCTACTCCTTTGAGCCATAGGTGCCGCCCTGGATCCCCTAAACTTAAGAGTTTGAGACCAGCCTAAGCAAGAGCAAGACCCTATCTCTACTAAAAATAGAAAAACTAGGTAGGCATTGTGACAGGCACCTACAGTGCCAGGTACTTGAGAAGCTGAGGCAAGAGGATCGTTTGAGCCAGGAGTTTGAGGTTACTGTGAGCTATGATGCCACAGCACTCTACCCAGGGTAACAGAATGAGAGTCTCTCTCAAAAAACAAACAACAACAACAACAGAAAAGGCTATGTGAAGACAAAGGTAGGGCTTGGAGTGCTGTTGCCACAATTCAGGGAACACCTGGGGCCACCAGAGTGGGTTGGGCCAAATCAGGATTGTCTCCTAGTGCCTTTGGAGAGTGTTTGGCCCTGTGGTTGGTTGGCCACCTTGATTTTGGACTTCTGGCCTCCAGAACTGTGAGAAAGTAGATTTCTGTTGTTTTCAGCCACATGCTTGGGGTAATTTGTTACTGCAGCCACAGGAAACCAACATAGGTCTCAATGGAGTAACAACTCATGAGATGAGGACCTGTGATTTTACAGGGCACCTCAGGTTATAAATCACCCCTGGTTAACTCGATTGCTTATCCTTCCTTATTGCAAATGCTTGCTGTGGACATTGGATTCTTTTGGATGTATGAAGAATCAGAGAAGAAAGTAGGAGAAAGACATGTTCCCGACTGAGTCTCTAAAAACATAATCAGCCGCCATATTTCCCACTGAGGGCTGGGTAGTGGGTGAGGACAAGTGACTGCATCTCTGTGCCTCAGTTTCTTCATCTGTAAGTGGGGGATACTAATAATTTCCACCTCCTAGGGAAGGTGGAGAATTCAGTGAGATGCAAATAATGAGAACACCATCAACTGACATCTATTTAGAGGTAACTAGTCGTGTGCTGGGAGCTACATTAGGAGCTTGGGCTACATTAGGTTATATGAATTAAATCCTGTCGCACATGCCCAGTAAAGGCACCTGGTAAAGGCAGCTGTTTATCAGCATCCTTGTCAATACCCCATTGGAACAGGGGCTGTGCACCTGCATTTCAGCAGGGTCTCAGGGGAGATCCCTCTAGTGGAACCACAATGCCAGTTTCCTTAGGAGACCAGATCTCAGAAAAGCACCGCAGAGCAGCACAAGGTCCAGCATACATAAGTCTCCTGGCACATAATCCCGGGTTCAAGTCCTGCTTTTGCTGGGGGACTTCGGGCCAGTGATGGGACCTCCCTCTCTAAAAAGTCAAGTAAATCATAGTGCCTCCAGCTACTAGTGTGAGAATAAAATGGCACCAGGGACATGAAGCGCTCAGCAGCTTACAGGGTCTGGGGTCAGCCATCTAAAAACTATAGCTGCTGCTATTGTCATTGTCATTAATGGGGTGATAGTGTTACTCACGGATTGTCCTCTGTCCTTTTTGAACTTTCCCCCATCCTGCTGATGGGCGGGAGACCAGGGAGGTGGCTAGGGCAGGGACCAAGGGCAAAGTGGGGAGAGAGTAGAGATGGAGGCAGGAGGGGTTGGGAGAGGTGTTTGGGGAGGACAGTGCACGGACCCAGGGGCAGAGATGAGACAGAGGGATAGGTGGGATGGGAGAATAAGCCACACGAGGCAGGTCCCATGTTCCCAAGGCCTCCTTCCAGCTTGGTTTCCCCCTCTGGCTCTGACCAGTACTCCCTCTCCTAGGGTCCCCATGCCTCCCACAAACACTTCAAGTTCTGTGGTCCCTGCTCCTGGGTTCAGTACTGCCCCCACCTCAAGGCCCTCTGCACTCACCGTGACCTTTTTCTGCTTCTGTTCTAGCCGTAGGACAAAGTCGGACACCTGGACCGTGATCGCCTTGGTCACACTGACTTTCCCATTGCCCCAGGCCACATTCTCCTGCAGAACGGCAAACTGGTGCAGCCCAGGCCTGGCCCCACAGGTCTGAGCCAGTGTGTACACGCAGGTGCCCATGAAGTCGAAACGGCGGCCGTCGAAGGTGGTGTAATGGGGGTCTCCCGACGCCTGGCAGGTGGCAGAGCCCACAGCCACGCAGCCCAGGATGCCATTGGATGGCTTGCAGGCCTCATGTGGGCCACAGGAGGAAGGCTCACAGGAAACCAGGCCACCCTCCTGACAGTGGCAAAGGGAAGTGCACTTGGGACCGAGGTAGAAGGTCTGGCCTGGTGGGTGGTAGGTTCCCTGGTGCACGCAGCCACAGTTGGCCAGGGGCACGCAGGACTCACCACTGAGCACGAAGCCCTCGTCACATACACAGGCCTCCTGGTTTTGAGAGCCACAGCCCCCAGGCACTGGGAGGTCTCCACAGGTCAGTGGGCAGCCGGAGGCAAGTGGCTCGTAGTGGCTGTGGGGAGGGCAGCTCATTGCTGCAGGGAGAAAAGCTGTCAACATTAAGAATTCCTTCTCGCAAGGTGATACACCTGCCCCCCCCCCACGCATACGTGTGCATGCACATCCATTCATACACACTCACACCGTAAGTGGTCCAGTTGCACTGAGGCCTCGTGTTCATTTGGGCCTGGGGAACACTATGTCACAGTTAAGATAATTAAGATTAGCCAGGTGCGATGGCTCATGCCTGTAATTCTAGCACTTTGGGAGGTTGAGGCAGGTGGATTACTTGAGCTCACGAGTTTGAGACCAGCCTGAGCAGCCAGAGTGAGACCCTGTATCTACTAAAAATAGAAAAACTAGCCATGTGGCTCATGTCTATAGTCCTAGCTACTTGGGAGGCTCAGGCAAGAGGACGAGTTGAACTCAGCAATTTAAAGCTGCTGTGAGCTGTGATGATGCCACAGCCCTCTATCCAGGGCGAGAGAATGAGACTGCCTCAAAAATAAATGATTCAATAAATAAAATCACAGACTTAAAAAATTTTTTAAAAGATATTAAGATTCTTTTCCAATTTAACTGTGGTTTGGGGTTACCTATTATATCTTTATTATTTATTTATTTTTTATTTTTTTTGAGACAGAGTCTCAGTATGTTGCCCTTGGTAGAATGCCATGGCCTCTCAGCTCACAGCAACCAAAGACTCTTAGGCTTAAGCAATTCTCTTGCCTCAGCCTCCCAAGTAGCTGGAACTATAGGCACCCACTACAATGCCTGGCTATTTTTTGGTTGGAATTGTCATTGTTTAGAGCAGGCTCAAACCCACTAGCCTCGGTGTATGTGGCTGGTGCCCTACTCATTGAGCTAAGGGTGTTAAGCCCTACTATGTCTTTAGTGACTTTATGCCAGTTGGTTATAGAATGTTAATATGTGGCACATATTTCAAACACATATGTGTGTGTGCATGCATACTCTCTGCAGTATATTTGTGAATATGGTACTTTTAGCTTCTTCCTTCTACAGTAGTAATTAAAATATGTACCTGGGCTTGATGCCCATAGCACAGGGTGGTTAAGGCACCAGCCACATGCACCGAGGCTGGCAGGTTCAAACTTGGTCTAGGCCAGCTAAACAACAATGACGATTGCAATAAGAAAATAGCTGGGTGTTGTGGTAGGTGCCTATAGTCCCAGCTACTTGGGATGCAGAGGCAAAACAGTCACTTAAGCCCAAGAATTGGAAGTTGCTGTGAGCTGTGATGCCTAGCACTCTACTGAAGCCGACACAGTGACAGTCTATATTAAAAAAATATATATATATACATATATAAATAAATAAATATGTACCTAGTGTTGTAGAAAGAAACAAACAAAAAATACAACAAAACCTTCCTGCTCCACTCCCCAAACTCTATTCATGTCAATCTATAAAAACACAAAACAAAAAAAACTAAAACTGAGGCTCAGTGCCTATAGCTCAGCAGCTAGGACACCAGCCACATACATCAGAGCTGGTGGATTCAAATCCAGTCCAGGTCTGCCAAACAATAAAGACAACTAAACAAAAAAATAGCTGGGCATTGTGGTGGGCACCTACAGTCCCAGCTACTCAGGAGGCTGAGGCAAGAGAACCACTTAAGCCCAAAAGTTTGAGGTTGCTGTGAGCTGTGATGCCATGGCATTCTACCAAGGGCGAAAAAGTGAAACTCTGTTTAAAAAAAAAAAAAAAAAAACCACTAAAATTGAACTAAATCAGGCCTCTATCTGTTATCTGTGCCAGCCAATATAGTAGCCACTGGGCACTTGTGACCATTTCAATGTAAGTGAATTAGAATTAAATAAAATTGAAGATTTTGTTCCTTCATCTTACCAGCTTTTCTTTTCTTTTCTTTTTTTTTTATTTTGAGACAGAGCCTCAAATTGTTGCCCTGAGTATAGTGCCATGGTGTCACCATAGCTCACGGCAACCTCAGCACCACCACAACACCCAGCTAGTTTTTCTATTTTTAGTAGTGGCAGGATCTCCCTCTTGCTTCGTTCGTGGCAGGTCTCGAACTCAAGCAATCCACCTGCCTCTGCTTCCCAGAGTGCTACAATTACAGGTGTGAGCCACTGTGCCTGACCACACTAGCCCCATTTCAAGTACCCAACAGACATATGTGACTAGTGGTGACCATGTCAGGCAGCTCAATCATGGAACATTTCCATCAACATCAAAGTTCTACTGGTGTGTGGTATTCTAGAGTTAATATCCAGTTTACAAAAGAATCAGGACAGAGAAACAGGTTAAACACCACTAGATGCAACAAGGCAAATCCAGAAAGTGGGAAATTCTGCAAGACAAATAACCTATTTTTTCCAGTAAATAAATGGCATGAACAAAAGGGTGGAGCAGATAGAGGGATGGATATATGAAAAGCAAGTGGAGTGGATGCTGTTGTAAGTCTAGGTGGTGGTTATATGGGTATTGCCTATATAGTTTTTCCACCTTCTCTGTTATTTTAAAAATTTCATGATATGTTGGGAAGGAAAAAAAGAAGGAAGCTTTTATAGAGTAAAAGTAACTTAAAGCTAGATGGACCCAATGCAGCATGTGGATTTGGTTTGTCTTTAGATCCAAACAAACTGGAAAAACACTTTCTTTTTTAGACAACTGGGAAAATGTGGAGCAAGTTTTTTTTTTTTTTTTTTTAATTGAGACAGAGTCTCACTTTGTTACCCTTGGTAGAGTGCCATGGCGTCATAGCTCACAGCAACCTCTAGCTCTTGGGCTTAGGCCATTCTCTTGTCTCATCCTCCCAGTAGCTGGGACTACAGGTGCCTGCCACAATGCCTGGCTTTTTTTTTTTTAATTGAGACAGAGTCTCATTTTGTTGTCCTTGGTCAAGTGCTGTAGTATCACAGCTCACAGCAACTTCCAGTTCTTGGGCTTAGGCAATTCTCTTGCCTCAGCCTCCCAAGTAGCTGGGACTACAGACACCCACCACAATACCCAGCTATTTGTTGTTGTTGCAGTTTGGCCAGGGCGGGGTTCAAACCCACCACCTCAGTATATGGGGTCGGTGCCCTACTCACTGAGCCATAGGCACCACCCCCAAGTTGGGTATTTAGATGATGTTGAAGAATTTGTGTTATTTTTGTTACTGGTAATTACAGCATTTGGTCATGTTTCTTAAAAGTCCTTTTCTGTTACTGAATGACAGATGCTTACTGAGCAGTTACTGGAGAACTCACATGTCTAGAATTTGCTTTAAAATATTCCATGAAAAGGGGAGGAGCAGAGAAAGAGGTAGAGAAAGTCAGAATGGTACTATAGCAATAATTGTCAAAGTCTGTAGGCATCCCTCTGAGCATCTAAGCCCTCATGACCCAGTCTTTTATAGATTCCAAGGAGGGCAAGGATAACAGTAATTTTGTTTGTTTGTTTGTTGTTTGCTTGTTTGTTTTGTCTGGACAGTCTTATCACAAGAGATAACAGTAGTTTTGTTTTTTTTTTGAGACAGAGTCTCACTATGTTGCCCTGGGTAGTGTGCCATGGCATCACAGCTCATAGCAACCTTAAACTCTTGGGCTTAAGAGATTCTCTTGCTTCAGCCTCCCAAGTAGCTGGGACTGCAGGCGCCCACCACAATGCCTGGCTATTTTTTTGGTTCTAGTTCTCACTGTTGTTTGGCAGTCCTGGAATGGATTCAAACACCCCACCTCTGGTGTATGTGGCTAGCACCCTAGCCACTGAGCTATAGGCGCCAAGCCAGTAACAGTAGTTTTAAGGAAATAAGAGATTCTTAATTTCCCCAGAAGTCACAGGGGATAGTAATAAAACAGGACAAACTCGGGAGCCAACCTGCTCCATTCCTCCACTCTCTGTGTGACCTCAGGCTAGTTACTTAAAATCTCTGTGGTTGTTTCCTCATCTTGTAAAATGCAAATAGGAGCGATCCTGTCTCAGGGTGATTGTGGGGTTTCAAGGAGAAACCTTAGAATGGGACCTGCCCAGTGGGAAGGGGGACACAGGAGCACTAGCTGCAATTAATTACATGCATGTCCTTTCTGCCTGTCCTTTCTGATTGAAGTAGGCCAGATGGGGATCAAGAATTGGACAGACTCCTTCTCAAGGCAGCATAACTGCTCACCTCTGAATGACAGCTGTGATGTGGAAATGCCCATTAGATGTGCTCGGTCCTTTTTTTGTTTTTTCCTTGAGACAGAGCCTCAAGCTGTCGCCCTGGGTAGAGTGCTGTGGCATCACAGCTCACAGCAACCTCCAACTCCTGGGCTCAAGCAAGTCTCTTGCCTCAGCCTCCCAAGTAGCTGGGACTACAGGTGCCTGCCACAATGCCCAGCTAATTTTTAGTTGCAGCCGTCATTGTTGTTTGGCGGGCCAGGGCTGGATTCGAACTTGCCAGCTCAGGTGTATATGGCTGGCGTCTTAGCCACTTGAGCCACAGGTACTTGGTCCTTTTACAAATGTTGACTGCATGCCTACTATCTATGACTTTCTAATTGTCATGATCCCAGGCATGTAATTGAGCCTTTCTAAACCCTGGTGGTTGTTACAACAGTTAAACAAATTATTTATACAATAATGAACATACATAAGGCTAAGCCCCCCTGTTGCCATTCCCGGTACTCACGGCAAAGTTTCTCACTCCTCCAGGGGTGTACGGTGGCCCCGGCAGCTTGGCAAGAAGCAGCATATGTGGCCAATGCATCACATAGTGGCCCAGACTGGCCTGGCAGCAGGCAGCGGTCATAGACGCAATCACGCACGGCACCCTGGGGGTCCAATATCTTGTGGCACTCCCGGAAGGGTCCCTCAGGGTCAGCGAGGATCCCACACTCTTTCTTGCTCTGCAACTGCTGGGTCACCAAGGAGTCCAGCTGGGGACAGTTACCTGGTTCAGCCGCTCCACAGCCAGGCCTTGTCTCCTCCTGCCAGCTATTGCCAAAGGCCAGTGCATTGGCAGCTTGGCCTCCACTCCGTAGAGCAAAGTCATCTTTTGGGTCCCCATTGAAGTTCCCGCAGAGCCCACACAGGGCCCCAGCATAGCTGCTGGGCACCTTAGCAGTCACACGGGAATCCCAGTTGTAAGTGACAGTCAGGCCAAAGTTAGTACGTATGACAGCATTGTTGCCCTGGCGGAACACCTGGATCTGCCCATCTGCTGCACTGCAGGGCAAGTAGTGAAGGACGCCGTCCACCTGGGTAGAGAATGCAGGAGGGCCAGCGGTCAGGGGATTCATGGCTCTCTGGCTTGCCTCTCCCTCCTGCTATTCTGACCCACTTGTTATTCTCTTGAACACGTTATGCCTGGCCCCACCCTAGGGCCTTTGCACTTGCTGTTCCCTCTGCCTGGCACACCATTCACCATACTTTATCCCTGAAGGATCAGCTTAAATCCAAATCTCTAACCCATGCCCTTCAAAGTCTACATGATGGGTCTCCCCATCACCTCCCTGACCTCACTTCTTTCTTCTGTGCCTCTCATCTGCTATCCGTACCAGCCACACTGGCTTCCTTTTTATTTTGTTTTTTGAGACAGTCTGACTCTGTCACCCTGGGTAGAGTGCTGTAGTGTCATAGCTCACAGCAACCTCAAACTCTTCGGCTCAAGTGATTCTTTTGCCTCAGCCTCCTGAGTAGCTGGGAGTACAAGTGCCTGCCATGACACCCAGCTAGTTTTCTTTCTTTCTTTCTTTCTTTTTTTTTTTTTATTATTAGCAGAGATGAGGCCTCGCTCTTGCTCAGGGTGATCTCAAATACCTGAGCTCAGCAATCTACCTCCTGGGCCCCCCAGAGTTCTGGGATTATAGGCATGAGCCATTGCACCTGGCCACACTAGCCCCATTTCCAGTACTCAACAGACACATGTAACTAGTGGTGACCATGTCAGGCAGCTCAAACTTGGAACATTTCCATCAACATCAGAGTTCTACTGGTCTGTGGTATTTATTGTGCCTGGCTACACTGGCTTTCTTGATAGTCTAACTCTCTTGGTTTTGTCTAGCCTCTCCACCTTTGCACTTTGCCACAAACATCACCTACCACTTTTTCCCTGTCTGCTTCCACTTCATTCTTCAGAACATGGCTCAAACCCAATCCTGTTACCTAGAAGGTCCTTCCTGAGGTTGGCCAATCCACTCTTGGGCCAATATCACCTACCACATCACACCACTCATCCAGTTCCAGCCACTCTGGCCTCCTTTCTGTCCCCCTGAAAATACCAAATGCATTCCTACCTCAGAGCCTTTGCACTTGCTTCACCCTCCTTCTGGAACACCAATCATCACTCTTTACCTGGCCATTCCCACCTCATCTTCTAGGTGTCAGCTTTTTTTTTTGAGACAGAGTCTTACTCTGTTGCCCTGGAGAATCATGTCATTAACCTAGCTCACAGCAAACTCAAACTCCTGAGTTCAAGCAATCCTCCTGCCTCAACCTTCCAAGTAGCTGGGACTACAGGAACCTGCCACAATGCTCAGCTAGTTTTTTTCTAATTTAGTAGACACAAGGTCTCACTCTTGCTCAGGCTGGCCTCAAAATCTTAAGCTCAAGTGATCTGTCTGGCCTCATCTTCACAGGATGTTAGGATAGGGCGTGTGCCACCACACCCAGTCTAGGTGTCAGTGTTGATTCAAACTCCTTACATGGCCTAAAAGGTCCTAAATGATCTGAGCCCCACTACTCTCTGATTTAATCTGCTGGTACCATCCAGCTCCCTGCCGCTGCAACTCCAGCCATGAAAGCAACCCCCATCTGCCCAGCCTATACTCACTGCGTGTGACATTCCCTCCTGCCTCAGAAATCAAAACTCTCTACCCTTCTGGCCCTATTTGTCTCTACTTTTCAGACCTCATGTCCTACCTACTGCTCTGTTCTGTTTCTTCAACTTCATTATTTTGGGTGATTCGTCACTGGCCTCCACGAGCTTCTTCTATGTTCTTCAAGTTCAGTCCAGCCTCAGCCTTTGCCCCTGCTATTCCCCTGCCCAGAAAACACCACCTGTCACCCAGTGGTCTCCTCCTCCTCCTACAGGTCTCAGCTTAAATCAAAAGTCTGATGGCAGCCAGCCCCAGCCTCATCTCCCACCTCACTCTCCCCTTGGTCTCTCCTACTCCAGCCCCCTGGCCTCCTTGCTGTTCCCAACCCTTGGGCTTATTCATTCATGCCCCAGGACGTTTGCACTTGCTATTTCTTCCTCCTGGAATTTGCCAGTCTCTTCTCTCCTTGCCTATTCCTTCAGGAGAGGCACTGGAGTATAATGGTTAAGAGCGTGGACTGTGGCACCAGACAGCCTGGCTTCAAGGTCACTAACTTTGTGACCTTGAGTAGGTGACTGAACCTCTTTGTGCTTTGGTTTCCTCATCTAAGATGAGCTACTTCACAGGAGTGTCATGGAGATTAAATGAGTTAATACATGTCAAGCATTTAGACCCTGAAGTAACTTAATATATATATTGGTTACTATTATTCAATCCTCCACTTAAAAGTCATCTCAGAGAAGCAGGAACATATATATATATATATATATTTGAGACACAGTTTCATTTTGTCACCCTTGATAGAGTGCCATGGCAGACTAACACAGCAACCTCAAACTCTTGGGCAGGCGTCCTCAAACTATGGCCCAGTGGCCACACACAGCCCGCTTAGGACATTTATCTGGCCCACTGGGTGTTTTTGCCACCGCTGCCTGTCCTGCTTAGCAGCTGACTCGTCCCAGGGCCCACAGTCTGGCCCTCCAATGGTCTGAGGGACAGTGAACTGGCCCCCTGTTTAAAAAGTTTGAGGACCCCTGCTCTTGGGCTTAAGTGATCCTCTTACCTCAGCTTCCAGAGTAGCCAGGACTACAGGCGCCCACCACAACGCCTGGCTATTTTTAGAGGCAAGCTCTTGCTCTGGCTTAGGCTGGTCTCCAACTCCTGACCTCAAGCAATCCACCCACTTTGGCCTCCCAGAGTGCTAGGATTACAGTCATGAGCCACCGTGCCCAGCCCCAGGAACATAAATATTAATAATTATGTCCTCTGTTTATCTAGAGGGTTCTCTATGCTGAACGCTAGGCTTTATGGGCAGAATTTCCTTCACTGTAAAGTTGTTGTGAGGATTACAAGTTAGGGTGTGTGAAGGGTTTAGTGCAGTACCTGCATGAAAAGTTCTCTTGGTCTCCTACTTCTGATTTATCCACCCCTTCCCAGGGCCTGGGCCACTGCCCTAAACTGCTCAATTACAATTATTGGCCATTGTTGTGACTCTCCTCTGAACCCCTCTTATCCATTTTTATATTAAAGAAAATTAGTGGTTCTTGACTCTGTGTAGTGGACCCTCTGAGAACCCTCTGCCCACAAGCCTGTGCCTATGAAGCCCCATCTATGTGCCCCTCTTTTGCCACCCTGGCCTGAGAAGTTGGTGGGGACCTGTTATCTCACACACACACACACACACGCCCCTGTAGTACCTAACATTTCACATATCACCCAGTGTGTCACCTTGCTCTCTGAAAGTTCTCTGTCCTCTTGAACATGTCCAAATCCACAATTCCAAGGGTTCATAACAACACAAACAATGGCAGCCAAGATTTACTGAACGTTTGTTCAGCACCAAGACCTCTTTTTAAATGTCCTACCACAACCACTCTGTGAGGTGTTGTGAGAGACAATGTCACACAGCCAAGAAGGGGCAGCACCACCTGGGTTGGGGACCTGCACCTTGACTACTGGCCCCGAGATCTAACAGGTGTTTAGCTCCACCCGGGATCCGGAGTTGCTGCTCTTCAGAGGGGATTTCTCGCCCTTGCACCCATCCCTGGGTCCTGTATCACTCACCAGGACTTGCCCCTTGTCCTGCCGGCGCACAGCCACCTCCACGCCGTGGGCCTGCAACCGCACGGCGCGCGTGTAGCTCACGGTCTGGCTGCCCCGATGCTCGTTTTCCACCAGCACTTGGAAGGTGGACAGCGCTGCGTTCTGGCCGCAGGAGCCGGCCAGCAGGTAGGTGCAGGTGCCCATGAAGTCGAAGCGCCGGCCGTCGAAGCTCACGTAATGCGGGTCGCCGGACCCCTGGCAGGTCCCAAATTTCTCAGGATAGCAACCCAGGAGGCCGTTCTGGACGTCGCAGCGTTCGCCCGCGGGGCAGCCCTGCGTGTCGCGGCAGTTCACCTGATTGGTGGTGCCGTCGCAGGTGCAGCGCCGCTGGCACTCCTCGTCCTCCCACACCTCCTGGCCTGGCGCGAGCGGGCGGCCCTGAAAGACGCAGCCGCATGACGAGGCCAGCACGCAGTCATCGCCGCTGGACACGAAGCCCGGGAGACACACGCAGCCCTCGACGCATGGGCGCTGGGCACAGTCGGATGGCGCCGCCGCCGCGTTGCAGGTGGCCGGGCAGGCAGGGGCGCAGAGCTCGTACCGGCTGTTGGCTGGGCAGGACAGGGCTGCGGACACAGGAGATGGGGAATTTTGGGGGGGGGGGGGCGCGTCAGGCCGGCGCAGTGGGTGCCCTCGAGGGACGCCCCGTCGGGAAGGGCGCCCAGCATTTCCCTACCCAAATCCAGCTCCTCCCACAAAGCTGGCAGTCTCAGTTAATGACATTTTCATCCTGCTAGATGCAGTTAACTCTCCCCCCTGCCTTCTACCACCATTCACTAAACAAGCGATCGGTCAGTAAATCCGGTGAGGTCCATATTCAAAATCTATCCAGAATCCACCTCCTGAATCCATACACCACAGAAGCCTCCTCCTTGCCTGGTCCTGCCCCCTGCTTCCATCCTGCCCCCACAGTCTGTTCCTCAGCCAAAGGGATCTGTGAACACCTGAGTTAGATCAGGTCCTTCCCCCGTCCCAGAGCCCTCTAGTGGTTCCAACTCACTCAGGGTAAAAGCCAGAGTCTTGCCTGTCCCCAAGAGGATGGTCCCCTGCACCATCTGCCCCACCACCTCTCTGCCCTCATCTCTCACTCTCCCTTTGGCTCACTCTGCCCCAGCCCCAGCCCATCCTCTTTCTCCTCCTTGGTTCTCACAGTCTCTCCTCAGGGCCTTTGCACTGGCTGTTCCCTCTGCTTTCTTTAGCAAAGCAGTGCAGCAAGAGCTAGAAAGAGAAAGGCTTCTGGAGCCCAGATGGCCTGGGTCCAAATCCCAGTTCCCTCTTCTTAGCTCTCTCATCATGAGGAAATGACTCCAATCTCCCCATCAGTGAAATGGGATAATATAGCACAAACCTCACAGGGCTGTCGTGAGGATTAAATGAGTAAATCTACATGGAAATGCTCTGTGAATGTTGTTGTTAGTATTTAGCCTACTCCTTTGTCTTCCCTGTTCTCAGTTCCAATGTTACCTTCTTGGAAAGGCCTCACCTGACCACCTTCTTCACGAGCTTCCCAGTCACTTTTATTAGATGAACTTTATCTCCCTAGGATATAAATTCTGTGGGGCTGGGGACTTGGTTTGTCTCAATTGATGCTGAATGCCCAACACCAAGAACAGGGCCTGGCACATGGCAGATACTCCAGAAATGCTGCAGAAATGAATGAGTGGATGATGGAAGTCACTGGTTCTCCTTTTGTGCCAGGCATTGGGGAACTTAGAGTAGGGGGCTTACTGGGCACTGCGGCACAGGAGTGACCAGGATAAACCCAGCATAACCTCCATGCTCCTCCATATGATTCCTCTCTGTCTCTAGCCCTGGGCCTTGGCCTGGCTGCCTCCTCCTCCCTCACCTCCCCCTCCCCCATCCTTTATTTCCCTGAACTTTCTCTGGGAACTTTACAAGGAAAAGAACAAGTCTGTGTTGGTCTTCATTGTATTCTCAACCTCACTGGCATGGCATGGGGCCAAGTGGGGGTTCAAGGAATGCTTGTTGAATGAATGGTTAAATGGATGAATATCTGGCTAACCAGTTTGAGCTTTGTTGAGCAGGTAGCAGAGTTACCAGCAAAGGAAGTGATGTTGGCATTTCTTGGCTACTATCAGGCATCCCTTTCTCCAGAAAACTCTTCCTGACCTTCTCTTCTCCAGGCTGGGTCAGGAACCTTTTCTGGTCTCCCATAGCTCCCTTGCATTTTTCCCATCCCAATGTGACCCTTCTGTCCATGCCCTCCATCCTGTCCCAACCTGTCTGTGCCCCCCATCCTGTGCTAACCCATCTAGACTATCACTACCTATTGATATGCCTCAACTTTAGGCTCATTGTGGGCACAACCTGGCTGTCTTGGCCATTGCCAGGTCCTTAGCATTGCCCAGCACCAGGCTGAACCAAAAGCACTGAGATACTGAACAGAGATAAAGGCGTCCCCTGCCCCTCACCAATGTGCTCCCAGCCCCTACCCAGGTCATCACTCACGGCAGTTGGCTGGTGACCTCCAGTCTCCAACAGAGATGCCATGCTCCAGACAGGCCTGGGCATAGGCGCTGAGGCCCCGGCACAGGCTGGGCCGCTCTCCACCCATTGCGCACAGGTCATATACACATTCCTTCAGGAAGGGCTGTGGGTCCAAAGTATTATGGCAGATGGCAAAAGGGCCCTTAAGTGAGGTCAGCATGCCACAGAGTTTATCACCCTCATAGTGTTGGGTTTGGCCTGGGGTGCAGGAGGGACAGTTGTCCTGGCAGCCGTCCACACACTGGTAGTCCCCGTCATCCAGCTTCCAGCTATTGGCAAACTCCATGACATCAGGAGCCTGCTCCCCATCAGCGGCAAGGAAGTCGTCGGCAGGGTTACCATTATAATTGCCACACAGCCCGCACACCTGGCCTTGGAAGTTCTCGGGCAGGTTCAGTGCCAGCCGGCAGTCCCAGTCATAGGTGACTACCAGCCCGAAGTCCAGCTCCACCACAGCCCGAGTCCCGCTCTTGTATACACGTAGGCGACCCCCATTTAGGGAGACCGGCAAGCGTGAACGCTGGCTGTCGATCTGCAGAGTGGGTGGGAAGGGGATGGTCAGCGCCTGTGCCATCTGCCCTTCAGCTCTCCCCCTTGCTTCCCTGCTCTGGCTGCACCAGGACCCCTTTCTGCTGCCGTCATCTGAGCCTCAGAATCTTGGCTCCTCCAGTTCCTATGGCCTGAAATTGTTTTTCCAGATATGCACATGGCTCACTCCCATAGCTACTATAAAATATTTGCTCAAATGCCACTGATGAGGTGAGGCCATCCCTTACCACTGTGTTTTAAATGGCAACCTTTCCCTACTCTCCTTCCTTGCTATACTTTTTTCCTATCGCTCCTAGCCTTCTAAAATGCAATTCTCAAATTTATGCTGTTTGTCATTGTCTTACTCTACCAGAATGCCAGTCCTTGAAGAAAAGTTTTTGTTTGCTTTGATCACTGCTTTAAATTCAGTGTCTAGAACAGTGCGATGTAGAATCATAGGCCCTCAATGAATGAATGAATTCATTACCACATTAAATAAACATTCACTGGGCACTCACTCTGTAACTGGCCTTGAGCTGGAAGATCCTGGGGATACCCTGGTGACCAAGAGAGCCTCAGGCACCAACCTCATGAGACTCCAGGGTCCCAGTCCACTGTGGGAGACATACCCATCAACAGACAATGACAGTTCAGAGTGGTCAGGGCTGAAATGGTGGGTCAGGCAGAAAGGTCAGGGCTGGGATAGGGGAGACAGGCAGCTGCCTGAGCCTAGAAAAGGGGCCAGACCCAATTGTATTGGTTGAGAAAGGCTTCCCAGAGGAAGAGAGAGCTGAGCTGATCCTTGAGGAACCAGTGAGAGATAGCCAGGAAAACTGGAAGTGGAGAGAGACACCAGCCTGTCCATCTGGCTTAGTATTATGAACCAAATGTTTGTGTCCCCCACCACAGACATATGTTAAAATCCTAACCCACAATGTGATGGCCTTAGGAGGTAGAGCCTTGGGGAGGTGATTGAGTCCTAAGCATGGTGCCCTCATGAATGGGAGTAGGCCCTTATAAGAGAGGCCCTACAGAGCTCCCTTGCCCTCTTTCCACCATGTGAGGATACAGTGAGAGGTGGGCGGTCTGCAACAGGGAAGAGGGCCCTCACTTGAGCCTGACCATGCTGCCACTCTGCTCACATGGACTTCTAGTCTGCAGAACCATGAGAGATAAAAGATGTGTTGTTTATATGCCTCCCAGGCCACGGTACTTTGTTAAAGCAGCCTGAACTCAGCACCAGAAAATGAGGAGTGTGTCTCTCTGTGCCCTGGGCAACTCTTTCCTTGCACATTCTCTGAGCTATGCCACAGCTGAGACCTGAAGGTTGAGAAAGCCTTAGCCAAAAGGATGGAATATGAAAAAAGAAGAGAGGACAGCATGAGGAACAGCCTGAAGGGAAGACAGAACATCCATCCACTCATCCAGGCATTTAGTGAAGACTATACAAGTCCTGCTCTGTGCCAGGCAGTGCTGGGGGCACTGCAGTGACTAAGATGGCTTGCAGTCCCCATGCTCAAGGCTGTCAGTTCAGCATGGCTATTCAAATCTGCCCCTCTCCTAAGACAAGTGGTCTCTGAACTGTGCTCAATCCCTCTAGAGCTCAAGAGCACCCACTTTTATGCACCTGCTTATTAATCTCACAGGTTTACCTGTACAGTCACAAAATAATGGAGGTGCAATAATATTCACTCAGTATGGTTGTAATAGTCCACAATATGACCATCCCCAGGGATGATTAAATGAACCACGGGACATCCATCCACTGGAGAACTGTGCAGCTATAGGAAAGAGACTTCTCATGCACAGATAGGGAAACAGCTGAATGCACCACTGAGTGCAAAAAGCAAGGTGCGGAACAGAACATATGGTACAGCAGCTTTGACCAGAAATGGGATGAATAAGAATATATGTTTAGATTTGCTTATATGTGTATTGGCATAAAGAAGCCCTACATGGCCGGGTACAGTGGCTCACACCTGTAATCCCAGCACTCTGGGAGGCCTAGGAGGGAGGATTGACTGAGCTCAGGACTTCGAGACCAGCCTGAGCAATAGCAACACCCCATCTCTACTAAAAATAGAAAAACTAGCCGGGTGTTGTGGTGGGTGTTTGCAGTTCCAGCTACTCAAGAGGCTGAGGCAAGAGAATCTCTTGAGCCCAAGAGTTTGAGGTTGCTGTGAGCTATGACACCATGGCATTCTACCCAGGGTGACAGAGTCAGACTCTATCTCAAAAATAAAATAAAATAAAATAATAAATGAATCAAAAACAGTAAAATGTTCGGAATGTAGATGATTGGCATACAAGTGTTTACTGTACAATGGTTATATAACATTCTTGGAAGCTTTAACATTTTCACAATAAAATGGTGGGGAAAAGGGTGTTATTCGTGTGGACTGAGTAGTAAGCCATTTCTAGGGCAGAACAGCCTTTGGATTAGGAATAGGGACTCGGGAACCAGCCTGCCTGTGTCCCTAGCCCCACCTTTTACTTTCAGTGAGTCCTGGGAGGGTCACCTGCCTCTCTCAAGCTCAGTTTCTTCATTGGAATGTGTTCCTGATGGTAATGCTTACCCCAAAGAGTTGCTGTGCACATTAAATGTAAAAGGAAGTGCTTGGAAACACACCTGCAAAGTGGGAAGTCGTCACTGAAATACTTGGTTGTTATATACTTAGTTTCATCTTCTTTTTTTTGTTGTTTTGTTATCCTGAGCCATGTTGGCACATACATTTCCCCCTCAACCTTTCCTCTCAGTCACTTAAAAATTTCTCGGAGTGAAATTGCAAGAGGTTTGAAAGTTCTGCCACTGATTTTTGAATCCCCCTTCCCCACCCTCCTGCCCGGATGGCCCACTTCCCTGTACATTCCACTCCATCGGTAAGGGCTTGAGTTTGGAGTCTGACATCCCAGCTCTGTCTCTGCCTTGGGACTGACGGATCATGGGGATGTAAAACCCAGAAACCTCAAGACACTCACCCTGGCCAGGCCAACTTCCCCGCGGGCCAGCGACACTGAGTGGCTGTAGGCGTGCACAGTCACCAAGCCCACGTAGGAGACTCGGTGGCTGTTCCGGTGCTCGTTCTTGGCCTCCACGCTGAAGGCAGGCAGGGTGTCATCATTGCTGCACAGCTCGGCCATCGTGTATGTGCAGGTGCCCATCATGTCATAGCGACGGCCATCAAAGGTGGTGTAATGGGGGTCACCCTGGGCGCTGCAGACGGCCATGGGCTTTGTCACGCACTTGGCCTCCCCGTCTGCCACCTGGCAAACCTGCCCAGCTGCACACTTCACGCCTTCGCAGGAGGGCTCCACTGAAGGTGTCTGAGCTGGGGAGGGAAGAAGTGGGAGGGCAGCCAAAAGAGAGGATCAGAAGTGTCCACGGGGCAGGAGTCCTGGAGCTCTCCTGACCTAGGAAGCTTGGACAGTTCTCACAATTGCCCATTTTAGAAGTGGGGAAACTGAGGCCTGGAAGCTTGAAGGGGGAGAGCTGCTCAGGCCTCTCTGAAAGCCCCAGATTTTCTGATTCCTGAGTTTAATACAGCTCTGCCCAAAAGAATGGAAGGTACTGAGAAGGATCTATTGCTGAATATTTTTCTCTCTAGCTTTCCCCCTCTTCCCTACCTTCCGACCAGGGGGAAAACACAAGTAATATTTCCTAAGGACAGAAAATGAGAGACAGAGGACTGTTCAGTGGAATGGAAATGACTGTGGACTCAGGCTGCCTGGGAAGGAATCCTGGTTCAACTGATTAGCTCTGTGACACTGGGGAAGTTATTTTACACTCTCTGTGCCTATACCTTCCTCATAGGATGTAGGGAGTGGTCAGGTTTAACTAAGCTAAAACTTAATTAGTAAGATTTGGAACTGAACCCAGGTGTTAAACTGAGGGCCACCTGTTATAATTAACCACCCACCCCTCCCGCTTTCTACTATTAGACCCCAAAGTGGCCCCTTGAAGTTGGATGGCTTCCATGCTCTGGGGGGCAAGGAGAAGGGGCAGTTTTGCCAGGATTGGGAAACCCAGTGTCTGGGCTACTAGCCTGGGGGAGACCACACAGGAAAAGACAGCCCTTTCTCCATTGGCTTCCCCATCTTCAAAAATTCTTGCCCTCTGACCCCTCACAATAACAGCTCACCATGACATAGTCCTCATCATCAGATGCCACTAAGAGCTTTACAAGGAGTAACTCATTCCACCCTCACTACAACCCAGGGAGGGACATGCAGTTATCATCCCCATTTTATAGATGTGGAAATTGAAGCCCAGAGAGGTAAAGGGCTTCACACAAGGTCACACAAGCAGAGCTGGGCATCTGTAGCATCTGTGTCCTTAGACACCTGGTGGCAACCCCTCGGGTGGAGGTCACACATACTGCCGGTCCTTATGTTAACTATGTCAAAACATGAAGCACCTAGAAAGATCCCTGGTATACTGAGAGATGCTTCCCCTCTGATACCGTATTATTGTGCTTTTAGACCTCTCGAGTGTGGGCACCAACATTCCTACATGAGGTGGGGGGAGTGGCAGTTAGCAACTGGTATAGCTGTATCAGTTGCTAAAATATCAAAGTGTTTTTGGCTGATTGGTAAGAAGCTACTGACCTGATACCACTCCCCCCCCCAAAGATACTCCCTCTTGCCACCCTGGCTCTCCCCTCGGACACTTCCCCAAAGGAACTAATAGAAAAGGGCTGATGCCGGCATGGTGGGGCTTTGGATCCTGCCCCAGTGCTCTGGCTGGTGTCTCTTCTGACTGACTGTGCCCTGGGTCATGCTGGTTGCTAAATATTTAGAGTATTGTTACTTGAGGGAGGGAAGGGGCTGAGAGACTGAGAGACTTAAGGAAGGATGTCAGGGAGGATACAGTGGAAGGGTGGACAGCCCAGCTGAGTCAGGAAGCCACAGAAGAGAGGAGTAGGTGGGTGGGAACAGGGTCACCAAGCAGACAGGGTCAGGGGTCATTTCCCATCACTCACTCTGTCTACAATCAGCTGCTGTCCCGAAGCTCACATGCTGGGCCAGTCCAAAGACGAGGACCCCGAAGTTGGTAGGGGCTGTGGCCGTGTGGATTTTGCCATCAGCACCAAGGTCCACTTCAGCGTATGAGAACTCACTGCCTGGCACAGCCACCCAGTTGAGGTTCTTCTTCCCCAGAGCTTGCCTGTCCATAGTCAGCTTGTCGGAGGCATCTGTCTGTGCCACCACCAGGGCTATGCCCTCAGATTCTGGCATGCTGTTGATCACATAGGCAGGGCAGTAAGTGGTCACATCTGGGACCACGACCAGGTTTGGGCCATAGGTCACTCCATTATTTATGGCACCTGTGCCAAATAACAGAACCTGGATGCCCACATCTGCAGACAGGTAGAGTGGCCGGGATGGACGGATCTCAAATTCTAACACATCACCCATCTGGAGCCCACGGGAGCCAAGGGTACCTCCAAGATTGTAGGTCAGCTTTGTGGCCTGGCTGGCCACAACGTAGACCAGATCATAGCGGGTCTGGGAGAACAGACTGGGCACCACGTAGCGGGTACCCCAGGCAGACGTGGGTGGCAGTTGTTCCACCACATAGTTGCAGTTTGTGTGTTTCTGGGCACAGCTGTGACCAGAGAAGACAGCCACAGGGCTACTGGCTGTAACTTTTGACCCCGAGAGATCAACTGTGCTTTGCACCTGGGCCACATTGTAGGGCTGCAGATTCATATTGAGGACACTGCCTGCTGGGTAGACTTCACCCTGGAATGTCACTGACCCCTTCAGCTTGACGCTGACTAAGGCACCTGCGGCACCGGCCACCACGGCAAACTCCTTGACATTGCCACCTGAGGTGCCAGGTGGTGTGAGCACAAAGTACTCAGTGCCCAGGGTGTGGACAGGCCGCAACAGCGTCAGCTCTGCTGACTGGAGCTTAGCGTTTAACGCCTGCACGGAGATGCTGCGGTCAGAGCGGATGATCACCGCACGGGGAAAGATATCACTCCCGCTCATCTCAGCCTTGCTACCAATGCTGACCATGACTGACACCTCTGGGATCACTGTGACCTTATGTGAGGTGTCATCTGCCAGGCTGAGGATGGAGACCGAGGCTGGACTTTCCGACCGACTGGTGATGAAGAGGTAGAGAGTCGGCGAGCCGTAGCCGGGACGGTAGTTCTGCAGGAAAGCAGCGAGGAATTCCTCCCCTTCAGGGTTTCTGACGTCCTCTAAGGCCTCCAGGCCCAACCCTGAGGCGAGAAAACCCAATTGTGTCTGTTTATCCAGTCCTCCCCACCACAGAAGCAGCCTTGCCCTATGCCCAGAAACATGTTGAAAATTTTTTTTTTTTTGAAACAGAATCTCAAGCTGTCACCCTGGGTAGAGTGCTGTGGCATCATAGCTCACAGCAAACTCCAACTCGGCTTAAGCAATCCTCTTGCCTCAGTTTTTCCATTTTTAGTAGATGGGGGTCCCACTTTTGCTCAGGCTGGTCTCAAACTTGTGAACTCAAGCAATCCACCTGCCTCGGCCTCTCAGAGTGTTAGGATTACAGGCGTGGGCCCCCACACCCAGCCTCTTTCTTTTTTTAATTTTAAAAAGTTATTTTTCATGTTGAAATATTAACTTGAGCTCCCCCTGCCATCTCTTTCCTTTCTTCTGATGCTTACAGCATTCATCTACAAGACTTTGTAGCTTTTGTTTTCCAAAAGCCTAAATGCTTTCTTTGTACAGGGCTGTCAAACCCAAGCACTGACTGGGCCAGGAAAGTAACTTAAATCTGTGACCTTGTCTGGGTGTCAACTGTGGGAACTGGAGCACTCTCATGCCATCTAAAGTGGGTTGTTGCCACAGCCTTCACTTGTCATTATTATGAAGAATTGTGGACTTTTTTCTTTTTAAGCCAGATCTTCCTGTTTTTCAAGAGAAACTGGTGATCAGTATTGTGATGTGAAATCTCTAACCACAAATCATTTTAAGCACTGTGGAGCCCAAACAGGCTAGATTCAGGTGCTGGTGTGTGATTTCCATTTTAATAGGACTTGGGGGTTTGGGTAAAGGGGGTGAAAGAAGGGGATTATGAGAGTATGGACAAACTGTTTCCCAGGAATAGAGGGATGCAGGGGTGTCTCAAGATTCCAACTAGGAAAAGAGATTCCCCAGGGCTGAGAACAGAGAGAGGAGTCTGAGGAATGTTGAAGAAGTGTGGGGTTATGTACTAACTACCTGCCAAATAAGGGGAGCCTTGAAGGATAACCCAGTATCCCAGGGGGTTGGAGAATCAGGGACAATGGACGTTTCAAAAGTAACCTAGATGAATGCTGACTGGTGTCTAGAGGGCTCTAATATCTCATTTTTCCTCCAGAACTTTTGACGGCAGCCACTGTTACCCTAAAGAACCATTACATAGAGGACACTGCTGGACAGGCACTGACGAGGCCGGATGAGCCTACGTCCCGACATCTGGAGATGTTTGTTCATGTCCAGGGCCTTCTGTCATAGATGAAATTAAGAAACTGGACACTCCAAGGATCATGGTGCCAGCCAATGTATGTGTGCAGTGCACTGTACAAAGTGCACTTAATAATATACTTGGTAAATAGTAACTAACTATAAATTTATTTATTTACTTATTTTTGAGACAGAGTCTCACTATGTTGCCCTCAGTAGAGTGCCGTTGTGTCACGGCTCACAGCAACCTCCAGCTCTGGGGTTAAGCAATTCTCTTGCCTCAGCCACCCAAGTAGCTGGGACTACAGGCGCCAGCCACAATGCCCCGCTATTTTTTGGTTGTTGTTGGCCAGGCTGGATTCGAACCCACCAACTCAACTGTATGTGGCTGGTGCCCTAGCTGCTGAACTACAGGCGCCAATCCACTAACTATAAATTTAGTCTGGAGTCGGAATGCTTTGAAGAGATAACCACTTTAAGATAACCTTGTAACCTGTGAGGAGGAAAGCGTTTAATGTGTTCTGTGATGCGTTATAACATTGCTGATGCTGCTTTTACTGTGAAAATATAAAAACAACAAAGAGAAACAGGAGAGGAGAACAGCTCTTTGAGGGGATATCTTTGCTGCTCTCTGGAATTGCTGGCTTTTCTGTAAATAAAAGTAGAATTGTTGATCTCTTGTCGCCTCTTCTGTTGATTGACTTAGGTGACAGATGGACAGACTCCTTGATCCAGCAACATATTTTGGGAACCATCAGCTGGGTGGCTTGGTGAATGTAGACATGCCTAGGGTCCACCCATACACCTACACAGGCGAGACTGGGATGCGCCTCCCTGAGGCTCTGTGCAGCGCTGCTGAAATACTTTTTTCGAGGAACAGCTGGTGGGGTATCCTCCTGCTCTTGCCATCACCTCACATTTATAGAGATCCTTCTCACCTTTATTCAGGCATGCCTAGGTGTTAGAGTCCCCATCTGCTTGTGATAGGGGTCCAAGTTCCTGTCTGGTTGTGCACAGAGGTCGAGTCCCAGTCTGGTCATACACAGGGGTCCAAGTCCCTGTTTGGTTGTGCACAGGGGTTAAAGTCCCTGTCTGGTTGTCTAAACATCTATATTTTCTGTGGAGCCCAACCATAGGGGCTCAGTGGTCAGTTCCAGAGGGCAGCCCTTTGGGTCGTATTCTTTCTAATTAGTCATCTTATGAGTACCCACCTATGACTAAGAGAAAGATGAGATTTTATTGTAACACTGCCTGGCCTTTATACAATCTTAACAATAAAAAAAAAACTATTAAGTGGATCCTTAAATTACTATACTATTTTACAGCTAGAGCTCTTTTGTCAAAATTCAGGTAAACAGGACAAGATCCTGTGTTCAAGCTTTTATTTATGTTTATATATGTAATATTTATCTCTGTTTTTATGTGTATATACCTGGAGGAAAGCCGTTGGGGTGAATCCTGTCTAATTGGGGCACTCATAGATATTAATTTCTGACTAAAAAGAAATTAACATTCTATTGTAACACTGGCCTATGTATATTTTGGGCTCTGAAGAAATATGGCCCTTGGATTGTTCCTTAAATTATTATACTATTTTACAGCTTAAATTATTTTGTCAATGATCAAGAAAATGAGATGAAATTCCATATATACAAGTTTTTTTTAATGTAATACAGATGCAAAAAAAATTAAGAAATTTTCTAATAGTTGAGAGAACAAAAAAAGAAAAGTCAGCCACTTGGGGAAAAAGGTTATAGTTCAAGGTGAGGATCACTGTAAATTAGTAATTGAATTAAATAAGATCTATATGACTAACACTTCTGTGTTTCCATCAGCTCCAGAAGGGGAGCTGAGAGAGTGGACTCCTCCTTACCCAAGGAAGGGGACCTGGAGGTGGCATCCCCATCTAACACCCATCAGGGAATTCAGGTCTGTCTGAGAGCCACAGGAAGAGATAGACTTCAATGCTTTCTTTTTACTTTATGCCCTGCTGAGGTTTAAACTCGCTGGACTTTCTGCTCTACGCTCCTACTCTCACTGTTTTCACTTTCCAGACAAGATGTCTCTTTCAACTCCCCCCTTCCTAACTTAGATCCTGACACTAGGGAGGGACAATCTATCCTGGCAGTGCACTTCATCTCCCAGTCAGCCCCAGATATGTGATATAAACTCTAAAAGCTTGTACAGCAACCTCAGATTCCACAAGTGGAATTCCAAACCTGGCCTTCAAAGGTCTTTTCATAACCAGACAGAGACCCAGAGAATGGTGAGAAAAGGTGGGGGACTTATGTTTGAACCCTCTTAGATTTCTGTTTTTGTAGATGTGTTTAAAGTAACAAATAAATAACATCAAAAGTTCAGAACTTGGGGGGTGGCACTTGTGGCTCAGTGGGTAGGACGCCGGCCCCATATACTGAGGGTGGCGTGTTTGAACCTGGCCGTGGCTAGCTAAAACAGCAGTGGTAAATGCAACAAAAATAGCCAGATGTTGTAGAGCACCTGTAGTCCCAGCTACTCAGCAGGCTGAGGCAAGAGAATCGCCTAAGCCCAAGAGTTTGAGGTTGCTGTGAGCTGTGACGCCACAGCACTCTACTGAGGGCAACAGGGTAAGACTGTCTCCAAAAAAAAGTTCAGAACTTAAAGGGTCAATCTGCCACTATAGAATTAAAGTGCAAAGTTTGTTAAACTGTTTCTCTATCTTTTTACCTGCTAAAAACTGTGGTTGCTAAGATACGGCTGTCCTCAAGATAAGAGATCAACGCTCAGAACAAGACCCAAGGTCAGTTACTCATTTGGAACTAAAGAAAAAAAAAGTCCTCTTTACCTTTTTAAAATACCAGCCACTTTTCTTTCTTAGCTGGCTCTGCTGCATCTGGCTATTAGAGTAGCTGGACATATTCTTAACAAATGACTTCTTTTAATTCATATTATATTCCAAAACTTGAAAACTGCTTTCTTCCCTTCCGTTTGTCTAGAATGTGGTCAGCGGAGAAGCACCAGACATTGACCAATTCTAATTTTCAGACTCTATATTTTCACCAAGTAACAAAATTTATTTCTTCTTGTTTAGAGGCTATTTGCTTACAGATGGTGGTCACCAGGTATCAACATTTACAACTACCAGATATCCACCTGTATAAAACCAACCATGCTTACAGACAACTATGCCCATTTACTGTGGCCTCCTGGACAGACATCCACTCTTGCCCTGACAACTGATTGCAGACCTCATTACTCACACTGCCCCCTTCTTCACTGAGAAGGGGTCAGAGTGGTCAGTAGCCCATTTCCCTAAAACCTAGGCTCTACAAATCACAGAGGAAATGTTAAATTAGACAGTTAATTAGACATGAGCAGGGCAGGTGGTAAGGCAGGTAGACTATACCTATTTCTCAGAATGTAGACATTCTGACTTTCCATCAGGATGAAAATATAGGCTCAGCGCCTGTAGCTCAAGTGGCTAAGGCACCAGCCACATACACTGGAGCTGGAAGGTTTGAATCCAGCCCAGGCCTGCCAAACAACAGTGACAACTACAACCAAAAAATAGCCGGGTGTTTCGGTGGGCACCTGCAATCCCCGCTACTTGCAGGGGGCTGAGGCAAGAGAATTGCTTAAGCCCAAGAGTTGGAGGTTGCTATGAGCTGTGACACCATGGCAATCTACCCAGGGCGACAGCTTGAGACTCTGTCTCAAAAAAAAAAAAAAAGATGAAAATACGTAGACTTATTTATTTCACAGTATAATAAATGTATCAGATTTTTGTTTAACAATGTAAAATAGGTATTTAGTATGGATAAGTACTCCCCTAAAACTCTCAAAATACATGTAACCTCCTTTAAAAACACAAATAAGAACATGATAGAGGCTTGGTGCTCACAGCTCAGCAATTAGGGCACCAGCCACATGCATTAGGGCTGGTGGGTTCAAACGTGGCCTGAGCCTGCTAAACAGATAAACA